ATTATTTTTGCTTAAATGTTTACGTATTTATTTTTTATATTTTCATTGCCTTTGCAATATTTTTGTATACTTTTTTGCAACACAAAAAAATATTAAATTGTGAATTTTAAATATTTTTTTTTCTGTTTTTCAAGCTGATCAAAAGCCGATTCTCAATTGCAATTGTTCAGTTCTCATGTTCAGATCAATAATTGCATAATTTATATATTTAGCTGGTATTTAATGTGTGTGCATTTGATGACATTTCATTTCAAATTGTTCAATTATTTATATAATTAATTTAAATAATTCTACATATAAGATATTTATGTATACATATATATCCATAGATATACATAGTTCATATACCATATTTAATAGATTTTCATCGTCTCATGCGTATAAAGCTGTAAGTCTTCTAGTTATTTTCCCAAAAATGTGCGTTTTACTCAACTAAATTCCATTTTTATGCATTTTTCTTTTTTCTCGTTTCTTGTTCATAATCTTTGAGCTCTCACAAAAAGGTTGAATAACAATTATTCGGGTTTCAATATTTTGTTTGCTTATTTAACACATTCAAATATTTAAATTCTTTTTAATTTTAATTTTACGTATTGCTTGCGCTCTCTCTCTAGCTCTCTTTAAACAGCAACTACTCTGTATTATTCATTTATTTTTGTTTCTATTTAATTACACCAAAAAAGGAACAATTCGCTTTGAACATTGAGCTTTTATAATTTACGTACGGTACGGCTATTTATGTATGTATTTATATATATAGTTATATTTATATATTCATATGAGTTGTCAAGAACATGTTTGTTTCAAAGTTGAGCCTATTTTGTTTCTGCTTTAATATATTTGTGTGTTTCTTGTGTTTTGTTTGTGCAAACCTCGCAACACATTTATTTATATGGCACAAAAGTCTAATTGGATTCAGCGTTGAGGTGCTAAGTGCTCAGGCGTTGGGAAAAGCTAGAAGAGGAAACACAAAGAAAAAACAAAAATAGAAGGGGGTGGCAACGCCAAACAGAGTAACGTAACGCAACTCTCCAATCGGATTTTGAATTTGCAGAATCGAATTAGCTTAGACACTAATAAATTAATTGTAACAACTTAGGCATTACACAAATAATAATAATAAAAATAATAATAATCAAAATGAAAATAATAATAT